AAAAAAAAAAAAAGCGGCACACTGTAGAACACCAGCAGCTATAGAGGAACAACAAATCCCAGCAATAATATATTAAACACCCTGTATAATGTATTATTGCTGGGATTTGTTGTTCTTCTATAGCTGCTGGTATTCTCCATCGCGCTGAATAATGTATTATTGCTGGGATTTGTAGTTCCTCTATAACTGGTCAGTGGTAATCTGCATTGTGCAGTATAATCATTATACAGCGCAATGGAGAATACCACCAGCTATGGAGGACTACAAATGCCATCAATAGTACATTATAGTATAATGTTGCACTGTTGCTGGCATTTGTTGTATTCCTATATAGCTGCTGGTATTCTGCATTTCGCCGTATAATCATTATACAGCGCACTGCAGAATGCCACCAGCTATAGAGGACTACAAATCCCAGCAATAATACATTATATACAGTGCAATGCAGAATAACCCCAGCTACAGAGGACTACAAATCCCAGCAATAGTACATTATAGTATAATGTACTATTGCTACATTCCTCTATAGCTGCTGGTATTCTGCACTGCGCCGCTGTATAATGTACTATATTGCACACCACACTCTTTTTTTTACTTCCACCGCGCCAAGCTTGCTCCCGTGATGGACTACAATCTCAATAGAAACTAGTAGTCCATCACTGAACCCCCTTTTTTTTGTATCCGATTAGTCGATTAATCGAACTTAATAATCGGCTAACTAATCGATTATGAAAATAATCGTTAGCTGCAGCCCTAATGCAAAGTACAGCAATCACAGGCCGCTAAAACACAGAGTGATATTACCTAGTCCACCTATGATAAAAGTAATGAAAATAATGGAATAGGCAGTATTCTGGATCTCTGAAAATTCAGACACCATAAAATGATGATTATGGATAAGTGAGCCAGCTTGAGGCAAACTCATATCCATCCCAATTTGTAAGACAAATAGAAGAATATTTGCTCGTTTTTAACATTACAGAGGTATTTCCTGAGAAGGCCACAAGAGGGCAGCAGATAATCACTGCATGAAAACAATACTCTACAAGCAGCATCATAGTTTATGTCAATAATAATGCATGAAAAACATGTCAATGTGAGTGCTTGTTACATAGTTACATAGTTACATAGTATTTGAGGTTGAATAAATACATTAGTCCATCAAGTCCAACCTATTAGGATCTCATTCTAGGAGTACCTGTACCCCTGTATATTACCTGTACCCCTGTATATTACGGTCCCTTAAGAAATCGTCCAGAAGTTTCTTGAACAATTCCACATTCTTTGCTGAAATCACCGCCTGTGGCAGTGAGTTCCAGACCCTAACTGATCTTACTGTGAAGAACCCCCTTCGCCCCTTGTGCTGGAATTTTTTTTCCACCAATTTTAGGTGGTGGCCTCTAGTTTTTGTAATGGAATTAATTTTAAACAGTTTATCGCTAATGTTGCTACCACCATTGAACATTTTGTACATGGAGATCATATCCCCCCTTAATCTCCTCACCTCCAATGTGAACATGTTTAAATTTAGTAGCCTTGTCTCGTAGCTCTGGTCCTCCATACCCCTAATTAGTTTGGTTGCCCTCCGCTGGACTTTTTCCAACTCAAGGACATCTTTTCTTAGTACTGGTGACCAGAACTGGACCGCGTAC